TCTAATAAAAAAATGACAGGGGAGTGGCCCGCACTTTTTTTTTTTGAACCAATCAGAAACATTTTCTACCAAGGCAGTCAGAAATCTTTTAAAAATGAACAGTGACAACGAACGTGATAACATTTTGCACTAAATTAGTTTACCTGGTAATGTGTATAACCAAGATGCATATAAAATAGAAAATATTTTTATTTCATATGCTGTAAATCAGGCGCGTTCGTAAAAGCGCCTCTCTAAACTAACCAATCAACATGAATATTTAAATGACGCAGCGTGAACGGCGTTTTCAAACAATTCAAATCAATTAGCTTTCAGTTTCACCGTTAGCACCGTGCATAACGTGCGATTAGGAAAACGGGTGAAGAGAAACATCAAAACAAATTAGACGGAATAGCACACGAATATGAATTTACTGAAGGATGGAGCGGAGGATTAAGTTAGTTTGCACACTGGTAAGTAGATGGTAGATGGAATGGGGCCCTCCAACAGATCATTGCTCCGACTCCTGAAGTCAGTGGCGGGGTAAGACATCATCTGGGCCTCGTAGGGCACCGAATCACGCAGGTCTCTTTGCAGACGGACTCCACCTGCCTGGCTGTCAAAGCTGCGACCTCCTCCACGCATGGTAGAGAGAGGCTGACAAATACAGAGAGTAGGAGAAAGAAATCAAACACATGATTGGTGAAAAATGTCTCCTATTTCTATGTTACACAAATTTGTGCACAGTTTGGAACAGAAAGTCTTATTTATACTCATTGTACTCTTAAATATCATGAGTGGCCGAATGCAAAGATACATTTTATTTATGAATGGAGTGGATTATTGTGCAGAGAACAGGGTAAATGTTTTTCCAGTTCATATCGTTTCATAATGTTCAATGATCTCTTCTGAACATTCAGAGCTAACATTACGCATGCAGCTTTTATGACCTCATATACAATATTAAAATTATTATTTAAATTAAATTATTAAAAATGGTACAAAAACAAAAGGTGGCTTATATTATATGGATATTACATATATATTCTTATTTGTCATCTACCCATATTTTAAACCCTATATAATCAACAAGAAAACCTTTTCTAATTCATAGAACAATAGTTTAAATTTGCTGTAAACATTTTTAAATACCACACATTTTATTTATTTATTTATTTTATTTAGTCATTTAGCAGACGCTTTTATCCAAAGCGACTTACAAATGAGGACAATAAAAGCAGTCAAAACTAACAAAAGAGC